AAAAACACTGATTCATGTCAGAGCAAAACAAGGGATGAGTGAGTCATTGAATCATTCACTCAACCCATTCCTTCAAAAACACTGATTCATGTCAGACCAAAACAAGGGATGAGTGAGTCATTGAATCATTCACTCAACCCATTCTTTCAAAAACACTGATTCATGTCAGAAAAAAACAAGGGATGAGTGAGTCATTGAATCATTCACTCAACCCATTCCTTCAAAAACACTGATTCATGTCAGAGCAAAACAAGGGATGAGTGAGTCATTGAATCATTCACTCAACCCATTCTTTCAAAAACACTGATTCACGTCAGAACAAAACAAGGGATGAGTGAGTCATTGAATCATTCACTCAACCCATTCTTTCAAAAACACTGATTCATGTCAGAGCAAAACAAGGGATGAGTGAGTCATTGAATCATTCACTCAACCCATTCTTTCAAAAACACTGATTCATGTCAGAAAAAAACAAGGAATGAGTGAGTCATTGAATCATTCACCCAACCGGCCGATTCAATCAAAAACACTGATTCATGTCAGAACAAAACAAGGGACGAGTGAGTCATTGAATCATTCACTCAACCCATTCCTTCAAAAACACTGATTCATGTCAGAACAAAACAAGGGATGAGTGAGTCATTGAATCATTCACTCAACCCATTCTTTCAAAAACACTGATTCACGTCAGAACAAAACAAGGGATGAGTGAGTCATTGAATCATTCACTCAACCCATTCCTTCAAAAACACTGATTCATGTCAGAACAAAACAAGGGATGAGTGAGTCATTGAATCATTCACTCAACCCATTCTTTCAAAAACACTGATTCATGTCAGAGCAAAACAAGGGATGAGTGAGTCATTGAATCATTCACTCAACCCATTCCTTCAAAAACACTGATTCATGTCAGAGCAAAACAAGGGATGAGTGAGTCATTGAATCATTCACTCAACCCATTCCTTCAAAAACACTGATTCATGTCAGAGCAAAACAAGGGATGAGTGAATCATTGAATCATTCACTCAACCCATTCTTTCAAAAACACTGATTCACGTCAGAACAAAACAAGGGATGAGTGAGTCATTGAATCATTCACTCAACCCATTCTTTCAAAAACACTGATTCATGTCAGAGCAAAACAAGGGATGAGTGAGTCATTGAATCATTCACTCAACCCATTCTTTCAAAAACACTGATTCATGTCAGAAAAAAACAAGGAATGAGTGAGTCATTGAATCATTCACCCAACCGGCCGATTCAATCAAAAACACTGATTCATGTCAGAACAAAACAAGGGACGAGTGAGTCATTGAATCATTCACTCAACCCATTCCTTCAAAAACACTGATTCATGTCAGAAAAAAACAAGGAATGAGTGAGTCATTGAATCATTCACCCAACCGGCCGATTCAATCAAAAACACTGATTCATGTCAGAACAAAACAAGGGACGAGTGAGTCATTGAATCATTCACTCAACCCATTCCTTCAAAAACACTGATTCATGTCAGAACAAAACAAGGGATGAGTGAGTCATTGAATCATTCACTCAACCCATTCTTTCAAAAACACTGATTCACGTCAGAACAAAACAAGGGATGAGTGAGTCATTGAATCATTCACTCAACCCATTCCTTCAAAAACACTGATTCATGTCAGAACAAAACAAGGGATGAGTGAGTCATTGAATCATTCACTCAACCCATTCTTTCAAAAACACTGATTCATGTCAGAGCAAAACAAGGGATGAGTGAGTCATTGAATCATTCACTCAACCCATTCCTTCAAAAACACTGATTCATGTCAGAGCAAAACAAGGGATGAGTGAGTCATTGAATCATTCACTCAACCCATTCCTTCAAAAACACTGATTCATGTCAGAACAAAACAAGGGATGAGTGAGTCATTGAATCATTCACTCAACCCATTCCTTAAAAAACACTGATTCATGTCAGAACAAAACAAGGGATGAGTGACTCATTGAATCACTCATTTATCTGATTTGTTCAAAACACTGATTCATTCAGGAAGGAAACACCACTAATGTACAGTGTACATTATGGGAACGTGGGCAAAAGGATGGTTGCGTCCGAAATCGCATTCTTCCCTACTATATAGTAGCCATAAAACAGTATTAGACAAAAGGGGTAAAATCACATAGGGCGTCCAAAATCACATGGGGTGAGTGGGACACAAACTAAAGCGGGGCTCGTTGTAACACACTTGTTTTAAATACTTCCACACATGCCAGCATGATGAAACTTAGTGTATTTACTAGATGCCATATCAACACTATAGGCCTAGGGAAATTGCACCAAAATTTAAAAATCTTTGTAAGATATCACTGAACAGTTATTTAACCATATAGCAAAAGTAAATAAACTTACTTTTAATCTCTGTTTGTGTGTGTGTGTGTGTGTGTGTGTGTGTGTGTGTGTGTGTGTGTGTGTGTGTGTGTGTGTGTGTGTGTGTGTGTGTGTGTGTGTGTGTGTGTGTGTGTGTGTGTTTATTTAAAATTGGACAAGTCTGATAGTATTTTAATCTCCAATCTGTTATTTAACAGTCGAGATAGATCGTTAATGCTGATCTACGAGCAGGGTTTAAACCCCATGTGCAGGCGGGGCATGTTGTCACACTGCGTTACAATGAGCCTCTATTAGAACTATACTATTCTATTCTATACTTTTATGAATTCTATTGAGGAAATCATGAGAAAAGGGTGAATAAAGTCTGAGAGAGTCAATGCTTAGAAATTATTCATTGTTATTATGTTTTAAACTGCTGTATAGCTGTGTTTTGCAGTGTTTGTTGAAAAACTCAAAAATGACTATTTTTTAATTATTAAAAAATGGCATTATTTTATATGAAAAAAATGTATAAATGTATTTTATTGACAAAATATTTAAGTTGGTCTTATTTTTTTTATTAGATAACATTAATCTGTCATATGGTCATGTTATATTATGGGGCATGTTGTCACATTTCACCTCCATTCTTTCGGGGTATATCAAGGAAAAAGTATACACTGTATTTATGAAACAAAACCACATAATTGTATTAGACATGTGGGAAATTAATGTGGGAAAAAATGAATACTCTGGACCCCAAGTGAGTTTACACAAACTGAGAAAGTCAAAAAGTGTTAGGTTGTGCCCCGCTCTGTCAAGTCAAGTCACATTTATTTATATAGCGCTTTTTACAATACAGAGTGTTTCAAAGCAGCTTTACAGAGATAACATGAAAATAATGCAACAAAGTTTGTTTCCAGAAGAAAAACTACCCTGCTTCCCTATAGTAGGCATAAAACAGCATTAGACAAAAGGGCTGCGTCCAAAATCACAAACTCTTTTGAGTTGGTACTTATATTGAATTAGTAATTACTTCACGCCCGCTAAAACATATAGTATGAGACGAGTGTGGGTAGTCTTAATGTAATCTGGACATACTTGGATCATATTTCTCCAGTCATTTTTACTAATATAGTCAGATGGTGATATTAAAAAAACAAATTCAATAGACCTATACACCTTATTAATAATTCATACTATGTACAGGCAAGAGAAAACCATAATGAAAACCATTAAGCGTGTTGTGTTCATATTCTCAGCTCATCTGCTCACCTGTATTTAGTATACATACTGAATTTGATTGTTTAATGTGAGTTTTAGTACATTAAGGTTTTTTTACGTTAAGCGTTTTAGAACATCCAGCTGTTTTTGTGGTTTAAATACTGGATCACAAGCGCCCAAAACTTGATTTACCAATTTATTAATCACAAAACAAGTGCATATTTACTCTCTTGAATAAATGAATAAACACTGGATATTCAGATTCTAAACAGACATTAAGACAATAGATTTAAAGAGGAGGGGATTGTAAATCCACCCTTCATGTCAGTTTCTTAAAAGGATTTAATGCTGATTAACAACCAGTCTTTGTACAGAACAATGGCGTGCCAGATGATGTCTTTAAAACATGTTGGGGGGTTTCACATTCATGCCGCACATGCACTTAAAGTGGGTTTCTGTTGCAGAAATGATAATGTCAATCTCACTTCAATGCATTGTTTACCTCAAACCTCAGACAAAGTGACGTTCAATGCGTGCATGCCCAGAAAAGGAGATGTTGGCATCATCTGAAGCTCGGGACAGAATTGGTGCACTCACAAAAATCTGTGCATTCAGACACATAATACACACTTTAAAGTGCTTCTTATTAGAATAAATCAATGTGAAGCGACTGAAAAGCATGATATACCTAGTTAAGTTAAAGTGGAGATCTACTAAAGCAAATGAGCAAATACATCGAGAGTCGCTGTGGCTTTGAAGCTTGATTTTTTCAGAAAGATCACCAACATGAAACTTGACATGAATAGCACTTCAAAAAGTCCTTTTTGGGGTTAGTGGTGACTGATCTGAATAAGGAAATGACACTTTTCATCGCACTTTAATAGACACTTTATAACAGAAGTGAACTTAAAAAAAAAAAAAATAGATTTTTTTATTTTTTTTAAAACAACAACAAAAAAAAACATTATTATTGCATGTCAAAACAACGCCTTCACACATTAAAGTCCCTGTAAAAAAGGCAATTCTAAAAAATAATTCTAAACACTTAGAAATGTATTGCTAAAACATATTACAAAGACTGTGAACTGTGAAGTAGCCTACTGGAGTTAGACCGTTAAACAGTTTTTCTTATTTTATTTACTTGGCGGCTTTTTTTATCATTCAAATTCGTCTAACACATTTTTCTGTGGTATGACAAACTCAGAACACATACTTAATTTGGACTTTACAGGGACTTTAAGCAGAAGTGACAGGCACGCACAATAGCCACAGACAGCATGTGTTATAGTCTGCGGGTTAGTGATGCAGAAGATAGACGACAGTCAGACATTAGAAACCGAACGCCTGACAAGAACGCAGGATAAATATTTCCCCAAGCAAACAACTGAATAATGCAGTGAGGGGGCGGAGTCTGAGTGCCTGGGGCGTGACGTCACCACTTCCTGCTCGCGCAGGTATCTCGGTATCGGACACACCTGAAGCTCCGGATCTGCCGCAGTTTTACTTGGAATCAACGACACATTTCCACCGAAACTCTGGTTTAAACGACGCTTTTATATCTGGGGTTGAGGAATTACACCGTGTTCGGAGGAGGCGAACTCTTATAGTGCTGTTAAATAGGTAAGAAGTTGATATGTTTAATGTTCAACATGTTTAACTGACGAGCACAGAAACCAAATATGTGCTGCGTTTTCCCTCAGGCGGCCTGTAATGTTTATGTTTTATTAAACCAGATATTTTCAACATTATTGTGGTGGTAAATATGCGCTATTGAGTCATATAAGAATTGTGAGCGTTTTAAGTTATCGATAGGCTATAGTTTTCACTTTTTTTAGGGGATAATGTCTGATTAATGGCGTGTTTAAAGTCTTTATACACTTAGTCAGGTGGTTATGAGAATGTATTGTACTGTATATTAATACGTTTTGTAATCTTCTCAGATTGAAATGGAGTCATATAGGTTGAATTTGGGGTAAATCGGGCCACAGTCAGTCATCTCAATGTCATAACAGTTGCCCGGTTTACCTAAATCCACCGAATATGTGTGTAAAGATACTGGAGAGTTGTATATTGTAGTTGACTTAAATATATAAATAATACATCTAACAACACAGTGCTGTAATGAGTAGGAAAAAAACATAATAATGTAGCATAATAGATATTTTCGAACTAGTGTTTTGCACGTGAAAATATATAGATGCCTTAAAAATTGTGGGTTTGCTTGTTCTAGGATGATCATTTTTGGTGGTCTGTGGAAATTTAAACGCTTGAAACCCCCAGCTATTATATAATATATAATATATTTTATTGAAGGTTTTGTTCTTTATTGGAGAATGACTCGTTGATTCTTTATGGATTCAGTCATTCTACTAGCTATATATATAATATAATATATATAATATAAATATTATTTGGAAGTGTTAATGTTGAAAGTTTTCTTTTTTCAGATTAATCTTTAATCATTTATAAAGGGATTTTATTTGGAGGTTTGTTCTTTTAACTTGGAGAATGACTCTTAATTATTTATGTATGCGGCCATTCTACTAGCTATAATATTAATATTATTTGTAAGTGTTAATGTTTAAAGTTTTCTCCTTCTGTTCAGATTAATCTTTAATAATTTATAAATGGATTTTATTGGAGGTTTGATCTTTTAATTTGGAGAATGACTCTTGATTCTTTATGTATGCAGTCATTCGGCTATATATAATATTAATATTATTTGGAAGATTTAACGTTTAAAGTTTTCTCTTTCTGTTCAGATTTGTTTTGAATCATTTATAAAGGGATTTGACTGGAGGTTTTCTTCTTTTGGAGGATGACTCCGGCTCGGCTCTGGTTCTTCTGGACCGCGGTGGTTCTGCACATCTTTCTCCACGTGTCTCCATCAGAGGCTCAGGATGAAGGGAAACCCTGTATGGAAAGATTCAGTAATGGCAAAGAGGATTTCGTGTTGAACACGGATGAATCTGTGAAGGAAGGCGCCACATTCCTGAGCTCTCCTCAGGTGACTCGGACTGAAGACTGTGTTCGGGCTTGCTGTAATGATCCGAACTGCAATCTGGCTCTGATGGAGCACGGACGAGACCCCAAAAGCATCACCTCGTGCTTCATCTTCAACTGTCTGTACAAACAGACGAAAGTCTGTCGCTTCGTGAGGAAGAAGGGCTTCAGCAACTACCTTCTGAAGTCTGTCTTTAAAGATTACCTCGAGCAAAAGGTTTCAGGTAAGAGGAAATCGTCTTACAAGTATGTGGAGATATTAATAATAATATCTTTATTTTTATATACCGCCTTTAAAGCAGCTTCTCAATGTGCTTTTCATCATAGAACAAACAAGTTAAAATACAAGAACAAAAAAAAAAGTCAAGTAAAAGCTAACCGTTTTTAAATGAGATTTATTTATTTTACAGTTATAAAATTCTGGATTTTTGTCTATAGTTGACGCCTGTTTTTGAAATTTATTTTTAAAGATTACATTGAGCAACAGGTGCCAGGTAAGGAAAATCATCTTAGACATGTCTAGAAATCTCTTGTAGTTATCTAGTGGGTTTTTTTTACAGTTCAGTAATAAATTAGTATATTCAGGATTTTTGTATGTAGTGTTTTTGGTCAAGTATGTTTTAAAACTTACTCCTTGAGTTGAAATACTCATGCATGTCCAGACATGCTGAGATCCTCAGAAGTGTGTCATTATTTCATATTTCACCCGTTTGTGATAACCAGGGGCGTAGGAATAATTCGATGATGGTCACTCATATTGAGGACCAAATTAAGTGCAGTTTTCTGTGTTGACTGGCGGGTCATACTAAAAATTGCTCATTTAATACTCATTAAATAGCCAATAGCATTTAGTTTACATCACAGCTGATTTGACAAACAGAGAAGTACAAGATCAATAGTTTTGCTGTATTTCTGGGAGAGAAAGACTGTAAATTAAATCTTATATCACGATATGAATAATTTAATTTCATGATAACGATATATCTCGCGATATACTTATTTAGTGCTTTAAGTAAAGTTTTTATGATATAAAAATGTAATTGAAATTTCATAAATCTCATAACCAATTTTAAAATTACATAAACTAATACTAGCCTAACTAACACAAGTAAAAAAAACAAGCTCACAAGTAAACAGTCAGTGATAAAATAGAAGCAAAAAAAAAAATTACAAACAATAAGACAAAAAATACAATAGAACAAAGACACAAATGAAATAGACCTACCTGAAAAACTTTAAGCACTAGAAATAAAAAAATACAATAGATCAAAGCCGGTTTATTAGGCTGCTGTCACTTTAAGAGCGAATGCACTGATCCAATATACTGATACACATGCGCTTTCTTTCTCCACCATTTACGTTCACTTAAGACAAGCAACTGTGTTTATGAGGATACTCGCAAAGCGCGCATTTTGACATAAGTGTGTGTTTGCCTAGAAGTCTAGGCGCTAAGTGTCGTACTCGCACGCTGTATGAGCAGCGGCTTTATTTGCGCACGTTTCAGGTGTGTTCAAATCAAGGCTTGAAACGCATTCAAACGATAAGCTCTCGAGACGGCACAGAACGTCAATGCCACGTCAACGCAACCGCTAAAGAGACGATAGTCAAATTTCTACCGGTTAATCATGTCTACTGGTATATCGCCCTAGTCTGGGTTTCCCCATGCTGCCTTCCGGCAGCGCGATTTTATTCACTCTGAAAGGCAGTATGGATACCATGGTCCAGATTTTCGCCTCATTTAGGGAACCAATCACAGAACGGGGAGGGAGCAGCAAGACGATGACGACCTCTATGCGACACACCGAAGCAGTTTGTTTATACTTAAGGATCCAACATGGCAGCAGACGCGAAGTTACCTTTCGATACAGCCTGGTCGTTTCACACACAGGTTTCACACCGCGAGCGTGAGCGGCACTTGAGCAGCGCGTCAGCGTAACTACATATAAGTTAAATGTTAAACAACAAAACAACCCAGAAAATGGCTCCAAACTATTAGTTTCACTCATACTTTCGATATGTTTACAAGACTGCAACTCCGCGGATAAAAAACAAAACACACAAATAAACCACACACTCGGGTTTGATTTGGGTTGTGCTAGCCTGTAGCTGTCTGTGTGTTACATAAACTAAAAGAACGCTTATATATAATATTTCTGACTAGTTTACTTTAGTTTTTTATATATATATATAATAGGCCTACACAACTTTCACCCATAAATATTTTAGTGTTTTTTTTTTTTTTTTTGCCTACTCAAGTTCTTGTTAAAACTCACTAGACATGCTTATTCTGTGCATTTTGGGCACTTTTTGTGTGAAATCATATTTATTTTTGTCCATCAAAAGTGTGCTTTCACTTTAATTGAGCGTGGAGAAGTGCAGCAAAACAGATTCGACGCCGAAACCCCCGCTTCACCGCTGCTCACGCGACGCTCCTGCTCGACGCTCACGCGCTCCTCATGCTCCCGGTGTGAATGCACTCATTGATTAACATACGCGCCGCTCACGGATGCGGTGTGAAACGGCCGTTAGATACACACCATCGTGTACACATAAATCTCTGACCCATCGGCCATCGCCTTCAAACGAGAATTGGGTCTGGCGTTAGCCAGGCTAATATCGCCCACCCCTATGCACACTTATTTTCTCATGTTTTTGGAGTACAGCAGCATTTACAGAAATCGACAAATTCTAAAAAGTCGTATCTTGATTTCATGGTCTTGATCAAGCGTGCCGCACAAGCCCTGAAAAGTGAAGCCAAAGCGTCTCGATCGCCCCCCAGTGGCCGGTCCTAGTATAGGTCATAAACCCCGCCTCCCCGTGTTATTCAACGGCACGTGAGACCACCTAAACAATTAAATTACACTTCAAATATCTTCTTTCCAAAGATGGTTTCTGTCATTTACTGTATTTTTTTATCACGCTGATGTAAGTTCAAGTGTTTGTTTTTAAAATAAGTTTGTTTTTAGTTAGTTATTTGATGCGGTGGTGTGATGTCATGATTGACAGGTTCTCTGAGCGAAGTAAGTCACTGAAGCACCAACAGACTTTTTTTCGGGATCTTCGGAGGACTGAGGAGATTGGAGCTTTAAATTGAATATCTAAATTTCTATAATTTCGCGGCTTTACTTCCGGCTCACGACTGCGCGGGTCTGGTCCCGAGATCGCTACCGCGCAGACTCAAGCCCCAAGATGTCAGCGCCGTATCGGGACACTGGCGGCTTCACTTCTGACCAATGGAGGAGAGCGAAGGGGCGTCGTCCTTTTTTTTTACAGTCTATGGTCTTGATGATCTGAATGCAAAAACCTGATGATGATGATTGCTGTTGTGTTCCTGCGCCCCTGGTTCAACCGTATAGAATCGCATCTTGTTTAGTATCAATATCTTTTAGTCTCAAACTTTAATTTCCTCTGCATGTCTGAGACTTAAATCACATTTTATTATTTCTCTATCGGCTGATCTTCAGTATACAAGATCAAGCTTGCCTTCATTCTCGCTATCATTCTTAGCATCTTATGCAGTTCCCATGATTGTTGCTTCATGTTGCATAATGTTTCATGGCAGCGGTGTTTTGATTTCTTGCAGACGTGGAGGACAAACCTCCGGTTGCAGTTTGCGGGCAGGACCGAGTCGTTCAACCGCAAGAAGATGTGACGTTGAACGGCATTGAGAGCAAAGACGATAAAGAGATCGTGAAGTATGAGTGGGTGCAGGTGTCTGGAGACCTGTCGGCTGTTATGAAGGTTATTTATTACTAAGAGTTCATTATTGGAATAATATTTTCTTTAAAGTTTTTTAGACAGCTATAAAATCTGCCAATGTATTTGTTTTTATATAGATATTTAATTCATGTACAATCTCTTATTTTTTTGTCAGAAAGGGCCTTTTAAGGATGCCGTGACCGTCTCCAATCTTTCTCCCGGGATGTATAAGTTCAGACTCACGGTCACAGATGACGCAGGACAGACGGGCTCGACCGAGGTCTCGGTTTTGGTCCTGACGCCAGAACAGTCACTCCGTGAGTACACGAAAACGCAACAGGAGTTGTGCGTTTACTTGATATATTTATTTGCTTTTTAACTGCAGGTGGAATTTTTATGCTGAATATATCAACATAGATGATATACAAGTTGTCGAGCATGTACATTATATGCACCGAACAATTAATTTCTGGGAAAAAAGCACAGATCTGTTGAGGTTTGAATGGAAGCTTGTTTACGCAAGGGAATAACAAAATAAGAAAGGCAATTGTGACTTCTCACAGTTTAGACTATAGCTTACGATTCTCTGAAATTTGAGATATAAACTTGCAATTGTGACCTATAAGGTCTGAATTGGAAGTTATAAAGTTGTAATTGCGAAAAAAAGTCAGATTTGTGTGATGTAACATCGCAATTGGGAGTTTTGAAGTCTTGAGTTTTGAGATATAAACATGCAATTGCAAGAAAAAAGTCAGAATTGTGAGATATAACATTGCAATTGAGTTATAAAATCCGAAATTTGAGATATAAACTCGTAATTTTGAGGAAAACAGTCAGAATTGTGAGATATAACATTGCAATTGAGTTACAAAATCCGAAATTTTGAGATATAAACACATAATTGTAAGACAAAAGTCAGAATTAAGTTAAATTCTTGATCTATAAACTCGTAATTGTGAGGAAAAGGTTAGAATTGTGAGATTTAACATTGCAATTGAGTTACAAAATCCGAATTTTGAGATATAAACTCGTAATTGTGAGGAAAAAAGTCAGAATTGTGAGATATAATATTGCAATTGTGTTATAAAGTCTGAGTTTTGAGATATAAACATGCAATTGCAAGAAAAAAGTCAGAATTGTGAGATATAACATTGCAATTGAGTTACAAAATCCGAGTTTTGATCTATAAACTCGTAATTGTGAGGAAAAAGTCAGAATTGTGAGATATAACATTGCAATCGTGAGTTATAAAGTCTGAGTTTTGAGATATAAACACGCAATTGCAAGAAAAAAGTTAGAATTGTGAGATATAACATTGCAATTGAGTTACAAAATCCGAAATTTGAGATATAAACTCGTAATTGTGAGTAAAAAAGTCAGAATTACGAGATATAAAGTTCTCAGAAATCTAGTTTTTGAACGAGACTGAAAATTATAAACTCTTAATTTTTTTTAATTTGAACAGATATCTTGTTTAGTATATTGAGGATTGCTGCCTTTGCATATTGTATGAAGTGTGATGTTCTTGAAGGCCGTCAAGAGTTAATATTCATTTCCATATGTATCATCACTTTGCTATCATGTTCTCTGAAGAGTGTTTCTCAGTAATTCAATCTGTTGACCTATGATGAGTTCTGGTCCAACAAGTAATGAATAACCTTAATTAGTTGCCGGAAAACATGGATTAACCATTTACCAGGATTTGTCAAACAGTTTCTTTCTGTTAACCCAGAATGTTCTGGTTTTCTCAAACAGTGCTCTCTTTTAATAGCAGCTCGACTAGGTTGAGTAAATTCGTCTTTGCTTTGTCTAAACCGTCAGATCAACAGATTTCATGATATATCCTGGAAATGGCTCAGATTGGTAATCGATTGCATTTTCTAGCTTCAGTTGAAACAGGAAACCACTTGGGCTGCGTGTGGACATTTTCTTGAGTGTTTCAGAAACTGGTGCGGCAGGTTTTGCGGTGGGAGTTTCACAGAGAATGAGAACATTCTCGTCATTGAGGGCTTGTGAAAGCTGTCCTCACGAGGCTTTGATTAAAAATGTAAATCTAAAACCCTGAATTCGGATGATTATAGACAAATGAATTCTATTAGTTTGAATTCAGAACCGATATTTACATCATTCATGTTGCATTTGCACTATTTATAGTGTTTTCAAAGCGCAGGAAACGTGAATAAACTATGTAATGTGTAATGCATTTAAATCATAATTCATTAATTATTAAAAGTTTTCCCTTCACAGTTATTGAATGTACCAGATTAAAGAGTTAAAAGCATGTTTATGAGCAGTAAATCAACAGCACTGGTATTTAACTCTTCATATTCAGCTTGTATAAGTGGTACTTTCAGTTCTCTGTTTGAGTAAGCATTCATATTTCACATAGTTCATGTGTTCACACACACACACACACACGGTTATTGGATGATAGTTTAATTCCTGAAGGACCACAGGTGTGTTAGAAAAAGTATGGAAGGTTTTTTTTTCTGCTACACAATAAAAATAAATGTATTGCGACTTTATATCTCATAATTCTGACTTTTTTTCTCCGAGTTGTGAGTTTATATCTCGCAGTTTAGAATTTATAACACACAATTATAAGTTTATATCTCAAAATTTGGACTTTAGAACTCAGAATTGTGATGTATTATTTCACAATTCTGACTTTTTTCTTGCAATTACACGTTTATATTGCAACATTCAGACTATAACTCGCAATTGCAATATTATATTTCACAACTCTGTCTTTTTCACAATGAGTTTTTATCTCACAATTCTGTCTTTTTTATTAGAATTGCAGGTTTATATCTTAGTGCTGACTTCATAACTCGCACATCTGACTTTTCTCACAAAAACTCATAACTTTTTTCTCAGAAATTTGAGTTTATATCTCATAGTTATGACTTTTTTCTTAAAAATTGTGAGTTAATATCTCATAGTTCTGACTTTTTTCTCACAATTGTGAGTTTATATCTAATAGTTCTGACTTTTTCTCAGAAATGCAAGTTTATATCTCATAGTTCTGACTTTTTCTGACTCACAATTTTTAAGAAAAAGACAGAACTATGAGATATAAACTCACATTTCTGAGAAAAAAGTCAGAACTATGAGATATAAAGTCGCATTTCTGATAAAAAAAAAGTCAGAACTATGAGATATAAACTCACATTTCATTTTATTGAAGTGTGAGTTTATATATATATATCTCACACTTCAATAAAATAAAGTCAGAACTTTTTTCTGCGCGTTTATATCTCATAGTTCTGACTTTTTTTCTCAGAAATGCGACTTTATATCTCATAGTTCTGACTTTTTTCTCAGAAATGCGAGTTTATATCTGTCCTCTGACTTTCTTTCTCAGAAATGTGACTTTATATCTCATAGTTCTGACTTTTTTTCTCGGAATTGCGAGTTTATATCTCATAGTTTTTACCTTTTTATCGCAATTGGGGTTTTATATCTTGCAGTTCAGACTTTATAACTCGCAATTTAATTTAAAAGAAAAGTGATGTGAATGTGAAGGCCAATTATGGTAGCCCATACTTGAAATTTGTCCTCTGCATTTAACCTCTCCAAGTTAGTACACACACACACACACACACACACACACACACACACACACCTGGAGCAGCAGTATCCTGGTTTCCGGGGAGTGATTGAGAGTTTGTGACAAGCGCACCTCAGTCATTTACGACCGGTATTGAGAATTGAACCCGCAACCTTCAGTTACCAGTCAGACTCCAACCATTATTGGGGCAACTGGGCAGTTGTGGCCTAATGCGGCCCAATTTAGTTTTGGCCTAATTAAGTGGCCTAAAAATCTGACTTCTCTCGCCATTATTAGTTTTTATCTCGCAGTTCAAAGTTTATAACATGGACTTTTACATGTTTTATTTACCAGACAGACACTAGAACCAGTGGCACAAAACATGTAATTTCAGAAGACTTTGAATATTGCATGCAAGTCAAATGGACTAAGTTATGATACTTGTGTTTTCTGTCAGGAACAACATCAGAGCATGTAAATGAAAACACAATTGTTTATTTGACATTGCAGGCCTTTAGAAGTGATTCAACTTATCACTGTCATTCTGTTCATGCAGCGTAAGTGACCAGCAAATCTTGAATAAATGAATGAATGCTTGTCCTCTGATCAGATCACTGTCTGGTGCCGAAGAAGGAGGGTCCGTGTCGAGGCTCGTTTCCACGCTGGCACTACAATGCCGCCACTGAGAAATGTGAGGAGTTCAAGTTCGGAGGCTGCAAACCCAACCGCAATAACTACCTGGCGCTCAACGAATGCGAGAACGCTTGTGACAAAGTTTCAGGTATTGTTCTTTTTTTTTTTTTTTTAATGGTCACGTTTACAAACAGATGCTCATTATTAATTACAACAGGTAAAACTTTAATTTTCACTGTGAAGAGTGGAGGCATATATGGTAATAATAGCATAACTAAGAATCATAGTAAGTGCAACTTGCTAAATTATTCACTAATTAAAGTACAGGTGAAACTCGAAAAATTAGAATATCGTGCAAAAGTTAATTTATTTCAGTAATTCAACTTAAAAGGTGAAACTAATATATTATATAGACTCATTACATGCAAAGTGAGATATTTCAAGCCTTTATTTGTTATAGTTTTGATGATTATGGCTTATAGCTTATGAAAACCCCAAATTCAAAATTAGAATATTGTGGAAAGGTTTTCATATCTGTAAACCATAATCATCAAAATATTAAGAAATAAAGGCTTGAAATATCTCACTTTGCATGTAATGAGTCTATATAATATATTAGTTTCACCTTTTAAGTTGAATTACTGAAATAAATTAACTTTTGCACGATATTCCAATTTTTCGAGTTTCACCTGTATAAAGCAAATGATTGTTATTGTGCATAAAATGTATACAAGTGTTATTTTATGTAAACAATCAAATCCAACACATATAATACTATAACTATAGTTATGTAATACAAAAGTTTTTATCTTAACTTTTATAGGTTTATAATTTACTTGTGACTTTCCCAAGAAAATATATATATATAGTATTTTTTAGATTTTGCAAATTAGGACAGGTAATGGTTAAAGTAATTTATATCCATTTTTTTCAGGCGCTTTACACTATTAAACTGCATGAAAAACATGTGAAAACTAATAAAGCAGCTGTGTGTCATCAATGGCTCATTTAAAAGTGCATTAATCATTTATTAATGTGCATGATCATCTCTTTATTTCTAATGTTTTGTTTGTAAAGTGTGTCTGTGCATTCTTTTTTATTTTTGTAAATAATAAATGACATTTTTGTTGTCAAATGAAATCACTTAAATTAATTTTTAAGTGTGGCTTTTTAAAAATATCTTTATTTTACATGAAATATTTTCTTCTTTTTGCAGTTTCTTCTCCTCACCCATCTGGAAGATTAGGTCCGATCCATAATGGTAGGCTGATTTTTTTCAATGCCATTTAATTTGTATTATAAATGTATGAAGCGAAATCCTGTCTTCTGAACTCTTGCACACACACACACACAGATGAGCAGTGTGAGGTGCCGTGTGGTCCAGAACACTTCCCCTGTTCTAGTGGATGTTGCATCGGAAAAGATTTCGAATGTGACGGAGAGCGACAGTGCAGCGACGGTTCGGACGAGGCCGAATGCGACAAACGTGAGGATCACATTCATCATTATTATAAAAACAGATTATAGACTGAAAAGAAAAGTTTTTTGTCTTGTTTTACTGTACAAATATCTTAACATTCTTAAATCAAGATACATTTAAAACATGTCCGCCATCGGCCAATGAAGTTTGAGCACCTATTAGACGAGGGTTAACGGAGGCCGATCGGAACGAAACTCGGTGGGCAGAAGATACTTTACACAGACAGTACAGCTAGCGCATACAGACAGGACCCATCTTGGAAAACAGTCTCGATCAGTCAAACCACGAACACGGTGATACGTGAGCTGAACTGTGACTTGGAATCTCATATGGTCCGTTGTTTCCGGAAGAAAGCACTGTGCGCATAAGAGAAGCACTGAACGCAACAGAGAAAATAAAAAAATAAAAATAATTTATCTCAGTGTTTCCTCTAGGATTTTTTCCAGCCGTGGTGGCAGGCCCATTTCGCCAGGGGGAGGGGGCGTGGCCCATGAGTGATATTCCCATTGGTCACGCCCCCTTATCCCAGGTGTTTAAACCTCCCCTAAGCATTATATCATGAAAGGCGCCAATAAGAGCGGCAAAGCGATTATGCGCATCCCGTGCGCAGAATGATGCACTCGAAGCAACGCGAAGTCACAGCGTGCAGCTCTTCGCATTGAAAAGTTCAAACAAAGCACAAGCGAAGAGATTATATCTATCTATGCTTAATGTATTATATCTATGCAACAGTTTATTGAGCCTTTTCTTTGAACAGTTTTAAATTTCAGTTAACTTACAGTGTGCATGAAGAACAATTCATAGTGCTCTCTACTCTAGTGCTGTTGTAACAGACACCCGGGAGAAAGGAATATGATTTAGAAAGCGCTATAAACTCCAGCAAGATAAAGTAATTTTATGCAAACTATAGACCTTCATCTACAAATAAAGTATAATAATGGGAACATTGATCTTGAAGAGAGTGTCGTCGTGTTACTGTCGTACCCGAACGTGACGTGCTGTTTGAATGCTGAATGGAGAATGACTGAGGAGAGATGAGTTTCCATTAACTTTAACTTAACGACTTCAATATACATTTTTACCTCACATTATGCTATTGAATGACTTTAGAAGTCTTGGAATATAGTGCGAAAACTTTATGGTGCTTTACAATGTTTTGTATGCCTTTAGTGGGGCTTAACAATAACACATACAATATCGGACCGAGAAGCTGCAGCCGTGGCGGGATGATTTTAGGTGTGGCGGCCCGCCACGGCAGAATGAATGTAGCGGAAACACTATCTTATCTTCAATATCTACACGTACTGTTCGCTCACCTTCGTGGTTCGATTGATCGAGACTGTTTTCCAAGATGGCTCCTGTCTGTATGTACTAACTGTACTTACAAAGTTCTCAATGCTTCGGTTTGCATGTAAGGACACTCATTATGCTGCCGTGTTAGTGTGGGGCTAATTTGAGCCTTGTTAATGGTATTAACTAGCGATCTCTTTTTGCTTACTCGATGCCCAATATACTAGCATTATAAGCTAAACTGTTTTTAGAGATAAAACTCTTTATATTCGATTATCATGAAAACAAATCTCAGGGAACGATTTAGTCTGTACCAATGTGTTATTACACCCGAGGTTCATTTTGCGCCGGAGTTCTCCTTTAAAGAGCATATTGCAGGTTAAAAAAAATCTAAATTAATATATAACCTTGTATGAAAATACCATTTGAAAAGTTAATGCAGGATATAAAATGTTTTAAAACGACATAAGGGCACTAATTTAGTAGATAAAGTGAGCGTTTCTTGGACTGCTCGTAAAAATGGCTTTTTTTTCAACATCGCGTCATTTTACGTCACGTCAGGGAGCCTCAGCCTCGGCTCAGTGCAGAGCAGGCTGGTGTTCAGTGAGAGCGGCCGTGAGTCAGTGTGTTTTCGGTAGTTTTTGTATTTCAATTTATCATCGTCATGGTGGAGAAAACTCTGGCCTGTCAGGACATCGAGTCCACAGGTTTCCATAACAAGAAAAAGGACGGTGTTGTATATCTTTCGTGCCTGGTGCGGTTTGTGCAGGTGAAGAGACGGGATTTCTCTTCCGATTCGAGAAACGCGGTCGTGTGTAGCGTTCACTTCAGATCGGAGGATTATCATCCCGGCGATATGATGGAGTTCAACATGGGATGCCGAAGCAAAAATATTGATCGTCTAATACTGTACCAATGGCATCAAATAGTGTGATAGAGGCAACTTGTAACTGAAAAACAAAATTACTAGGTTGTTTAAATATTCAAATCTTTAATTTTCTGTTTATGTTATAACCCAGGTGAAAAATATATATTAAAAATGTACTTGAGTATGTTTTTAGTACAATACAAATATACTCAAGCATAGTTTTTATACATTTAATAGTATATATCTACCCTAAACATACTAATGTCTGCTCGCCTGATATACGATGGTAATAATCTGTACAATATTGTGAGCACAGTCTATATCGTTAGTGAACGTGTATATCTATAAGCTAACACTGGTCTCTCTCACCAAGACACCTGTCCTGTTCTCCACTGGTTCTCCTCACTCCACAACTCAATGTGTCTCTGACCGTTCTGTCTAACATTAATCCTGGCCTATCCCTGCTCTCTCGGCAGCATAGCAGGCTCATAGCAGGCTCATAGCAGGCTCATAACAGGCTCATAGCAGGCTCATAACAGGCTCATAGCAGGCTCATAGCAGGCTCATAGCAGGCTCATAACAGGCTCATAACAGGCTCATAGCAGGCTCATAGCAGGCTCATAACAGGCTCATAACAGGCTCATAGCAGGCTCATAGCAGGCTCATAGCAGGCTCATAGCAGGCTCATAGCAGGCTCATAGCAGGCTCATAGCAGGCTCATAGCAGGCTCATAACAGGCTCATAGCAGGCTCATAACAGGCTCATAGCAGGCTCATAGCAGGCTCATAGCAGGCTCATAGCAGGCTCATAGCAGGCTCATAGCAGGCTCATAGCAGGCTCATAGCAGGCTCATAGCAGGCTCATAACAGGCTCATAGCAGGCTCATAACAGGCTCATAACAGGCTCATAGCAGGCTCATAGCAGGCTCATAACAGGCTCATAGCAGGCTCATAGCAGGCTCATAACAGGCTCATAGCAGGCTCATAACAGGCTCATAGCAGGCTCATAGCAGGCTCATAACAGGCTCATAGCAGGCTCATAACAGGCTCATAGCAGGCTCATAGCAGGCTCATAGCAGGCTCATAGCAGGCTCATAACAGGCTCATAGCAAGCTCATAGCAGGCTCATAACAGGCTCATAGCAGGCTCATAGCAGGCTCATAGCAGGCTCATAGCAGGCTCATAGCAGGCTCATAATTGTATGGCTGTAGTCCGTCATACGAGTAAGTATTTCCTCAGCGTCCGAAATGTCATTGCGATCCATTGTTTTCCTGTTGTTTGAATCGACCGCTCTCACGCCCGCCACGCCCATTTTCAGACGCGGAAGTAAAATTTTCTCACAAAAACGACTCCAGAAGCTTCTGTAGCGTATTTATAAGTATATTTTAAAGAAAATATAGTTCCTACATTATTTTTCTATACATTGACTCGTTGGGTCCTCTAACCTGCAGTATCCCCTTTAAGTGCGATTACATGTAAATTGTGTTTAATCGTTCAGCCCTAGTGACTGAATGCACTTTTTCTTCTCTTTATGTTCAGTGAACGATAAGTTCAGTCGATTGCTGAAAATTCCTGTGGACACATCCAAAGGTGATTTTATTTTTCATTTTCTGTTGTGATGTATGCAATCTTTTTAACATATTTAGTGATGATAATTTTATCTTGAAAACTGCTTTTTAGTGCCTCCTTAACATGAAATAACACTCTTGCAGCTCATTGCGTGGAGCCGCCGGTAACGGGAAGCTGTCGCGACAGCGCCACCCACTGGTACTACAATCCGTATAAACTGAGCTGTAATCGCTTTAACTACGGCGGGTGTGATGGGAATATGAACCGCTTTAAGACGCAGGACGAGTGCATGAGTTTGTGCAGTTCAGTGTCTGGTGAGTTTTACTGTATTATCGTCATATAATCAGTATTTAAAGGGATAGTTCACTTTGAAATTAATTTTTGGTGTGTTTTAGCTTACCTCAAGGGCATCCAAGATGTAGGTGTCTTTGTTTCCGCAGGAGTTTCAATTTTGATATTTTTAGGTCAAACCGTTCTTGTCTGTCAGTCATATAATGCAGGTCTATGGTCACCACCTCAAAGAGCATGCACAGAGAAGTCCAAATTAAACATGATTTAATGACTCGTAAATGTAAGTACACATTGATGGCCTAAGACACGAAACGAGCGGTTTGTGTGAGAAAACGAACAGTATTTATATCGTTTTTACCTCTTGTAAACACAGCCACGTCCAAGTGATCTCTCGCGCGTGTACGTCACTCATTGTTTACACAGAACAGGGATTGTAGGTAAGACGGCTAATTAAAATGGTACTAATTTGCGCTTATCCGGGATGTTTAAACCGTCGTAAAAGAAAACAATTAAAAAAAATAAAAAATAAAACAATTGTATGAGTGACGTACACGCGCAAGAGATCACTTCCGGCGCTTTCCGGCACTTGCTGGAAAAGGCCGAAGCGCCGGCGCCCTCAGATCACTTGGACGTGGCTTGTGGTTAAGCCTAGTTCACACTACATGATTTTAAAACGTCGGGCTGAACTGTGCGGTTCACACTACATGACTTGCTCTCTGTGAAATCAGGAGTGTTCAAGTTGTTGAGCTAGTTCACACCACACGACACAACGTGATTGATCCGCAACAGGAGGTAACGCACTACACGAGTTGACAACAACTGTCACCCAACGATTCTATCTTGTCTACAAACCACGTTTTGTCACAAAAAATCACGCGATAAAACGAACCGGAAATGACGCGAAACAGCACGCGGGCCAATACCCAGCGAAGAAGACGAAGACCCATGCCTTGCTCTGATTGGAGCAACCCATGCCTTGCTCTGATTGGCTGTAGCTCATGACATCACGTGAGCTTGAGTCGCGCAACAGCTCTGGATATCTAGCATGCTATATATTTTTCTGGGCTCGGCGACGCGTCTGCGAGTGTCTTTGATGCGTTGTTGGCTCTTTCATACTAACAGATTGGCGAGCGTTCATCGCCCGCTAATCTCCCGCGATTTGCACGCGATAACACCCTGACCTGTCGGCGAGCTCGACGATTTGCAAATCGGGCTTAAAATCCTGTAGTGTGAACTAGGCTTTACAAGAGGTAAAAACGATATAAATGCTGTTCGTTTTCTCACACAAACCGCTCGTTTCGTGTCTTAGGCCATCAATGTGTACTTACATTTACGAGTCATTAAATCATGTTTAATTTGGACTTCTCTGTGCATGCTCTTTGAGGTGGTGACCATAGACCTGCATTATATGACTGACAGACAAGAACGGTTTGACCTAAAAATATCAAAATTGAAACTACTGCGGAAACAAAGACACCTACATCTTGGATGCCCTTGAGGTAAGCTAAAACATACCAAAAATTATTTTCAAAGTGAACTATCCCTTTAATGTCAACATGCACTGTAAAAAAAATTATTGTAACAACCTAAAATGTGGCGTTAGAATAACTTTCTCGCATTTAACTTGAGAACTCAAATATCCGAGTTGTCGCTTAATACAAGTTCACATTTCAAAGGCAGCACAAACACTTATTCATCAGGGCATATTATTGTAAAGAAAAACATGTTTGTCTTTATAATCTTTCATCAGAATATAATAACTGACTTTCTTTTTCAGCTGATTTCATCATTCCCTCTTATTTATGAAATGGTTGTTTGCACATTTGATCTTGCACAATGATCTCGTTTTAGACAGTCAGTAAAAGCCAGAACTCTTTTTTTTTTTAAAGTAACATTTTTCAGATGTTCTTTTTTATCCTTTCATAGCTTGTCACAAATTAGAAAAAATATTAAGAAAATGGGTAGATTTTAAGCACTGTCAGTGTTTCCCATTGATTACCTAGACTCTGGTGTAACCACAGTTTCATAATGAAACGAAAAATATTTTAAAACTTCTCATAACAAATAAAGTTCTCTAATGTTGTTATGCACCAAAGTATCTGTCAAACGAACTCAAACCGAAAGCTCGATATGGCTTTGTGCCCTTATCAAATCACAAAAGACTGTGATTTAATAAAATAAGTATATAGTCTTGCCCTGCGTGTTTCAGAGCGCACGTGTTTTCCGTGTCTCAGAACGGCTCGGTTTACAGTGAACATCTCAACAGATAGCAGAAGGATTTTTCGTATATTCTAATAACAATTAAAAGCAAACGACATGCACAATCAGCATACAAATATAAATATAATAAACAGTTAAGCAATTATTCCTTCCTATTAGCACATATTTATTCTCATACCTGCAAACTAGTTGCTATTCTGAGAAAATCGCCATTTTGAATCAAAATGTCACTTATGTGAATCAATGAAGTTCAACGTCCAAAAACTCATTAGTCAGCTGCAAAAATTAACTTAGAGAGGAGCATTTTGCTAAATATATGCACTATAGTAGGGCCCTATGAAATCCGTGTTTTTTCCCCAAATTCCTTTTTTTTTTCTTCGAATTCCGTTTTTTTTTTTTTTTCTGGATTCAAATATCCAAGTTGGCACTTAATATTTCTTATTCCAAAGGCAGCACAAACACTTAATTTTAAAAGTTAAGAATTGTTTTGTTTACAGTGTGGAATCAAAATGGACTCTTATCTTCTTATTATGAATTATTCATCAGTATATTATTTTAAAGAAAAACATGTTTGTCTTTTATAATCTTTTATCAGAAAGTACAGGTGAAACTCGAAAAATTAGAATATGGTGCAAAAGTTCATTTATTTCAGTAATTCAACTTAAAAGGTGAAACTAATATATTATATAGACTCATTACAGGCAAAGTGAGATATTTCAAGCCTTTATTTGTTATAATTGTGATGATTATGGCATACAGCTTATGAAAACCCCAAATTCAAAATTAGGATATTGTGAAAAGGTTTTCATAGCTGTAAGCCATAATCATCAAAAAAATTATATTATATAGTTGAATCTCTGAAATAAATAAACTTTTGCACGATATTCTAATTTTTCGTGTTTCACCTGTAATAACTGGCTTTCTTTTTCAGCTGATTTCATCAATCCCGCTTATTTAAGTTCAGGAGCAAATTAATTCACTGACTTTTGATGATTGATGATTTTAACTTTCTAATGCACTACACCCCCCCCCCCCCCCCCCCCCCCTATCCAGAGGAACCAAAGTCTCACACAAATCCTGTGGCAAACACAGACTGTTTTCTGTCTCTCCTGCAAAACATCATGCCATGTTTATATTATTATCATTTCAGAGTCTGACGTGTTTGCCGCACGTGGACAGTTTGAGAAGCATGAAGGCGAGAGCAATACAGGTAACGCCGCTTCATAATGTACAGCATTATGCATAACATTCATGCTTTTCTTTAAAAGATGAACATTGAGACTCATGTTGCTCAGTGTCTGTCTCAGATAATGTCTTGTTTAACTGTAAAAAGTTCTATCTGTTGCACTAAACCTCGATAATGCAAGTTTGCATTACATATCTTTTTGAGTACATATGTAATGTCAGTGTTTTCTTGGACAAAATGTTAACCAGTAGACCGGCAGATATTAGGGAAACCGGTTTGTGATTTATGTAAGAATTTCATGAGTGACAAAACATATTTTAATAGAATGTCCTTTATAAATGATATTAGACAACGTTTTTATTCAGAAAATATATTAACAGACATTTTTACAAAAGTTTCTCCTGGAATAATTTTAGAATTTCTGACAAATATATTTCTGATTTTGTATATTGATTGTTTTTTTAAAGGGGTCATATAATGCCATTTTTGTACAAGCTAGTATGATTCTTTAGGGTCTAAATTAAAAGTTTGTAATATACTTTAATTAAAAATTCTCATTAGTATTGTAAGAAAACACTTATTTTACCTGGTCAAAAACAGCTCTGTTTTCAGCACGGCGTTTCAGTGCATATGACTTTAAATGATAATGAGCTTTGCTCACCCCGCCTCTCTGTTCTGTGCGTACACCGTTTGTAACTCAATAACTCAATAACCATAACGCGTTGTTCATTATAAACGTGGGATTATGAATTATATGGAGAACGTCATACATAGAAAACATGCCGTAATGTACCCTGAGTGTAAACCTTAGACGCATTCATTGTGAAGTGTGCAGCTAGCGATTTGCAAAGATATAAATATTAATATAAAGTTTAATAAAACGTTACACTCACTTCAGTTCTTCTAGAGGTTCAGCAGGAACACGAATAGCTGGTACCGATCCTTTATTCATGAGCAGCTTCTTAGCAAAACCAGCTTTATACTGACCCTCGTTTATAAAGCAGTCTGGTGAGAAATGATTCGCGCAAACATGAGAGCATTGACGTTGCTCGTGGGGAATATTCCCTTCGAAAACAAAACTCAGCCACTGCGTCTTCAGCGGTTCGGATTTAGGAACATTAAAATGACTGTGTTCGTTATTACACCCAAGAACAGAACACCACAGTCGCTTAGATGCCATTCTGCTCATAGACAGTGCTCCAGCATATCAACAATGACGGCGCCGGTCCGCGCAGACTATGATTGACAGCTCACTCACGAGCGAGGGCGGGTCTGTGTTGAAACGCTGCTGTCAATCAACAATCGTGGGAGGGGCTTCTGAGCGTGTGACGTCACAAAATCAAACGGCTTGATTTGAGGCAGGGGAAAACATATAAGGAGATTAAAACAAAAGCACTGGATGGATTTTTATCATTTTATGATGGTTGTGTACAGGCACTGCCAACACACATTTCAGTACAATCAACTTGTAGTTAAATTATTGTAAACAATATATTGAATTGATTTTTTAAACTAAAATACTGTTGATTGCCATGAATATAGCCATTGCTGCTGATAAGGCGTTAAATCATATATAAATAAATAAATATTAAACAGATATTTCTTGATTGTTTTCATGCATTGGTTCTCACTGATCCAGATGTGCATGACGTGTCTCTTCTCATCTGTCCTCAGCTGCCATTGCGTTCGCAGTCGTCCTGGGCTTCGCCATCGCTATCCTGCTGGTTGTTATTGCATGTTGCCTCGTGAAGGGACGGAAGAAGCGTCAAAACAAACATCAGCAAGTGGCTGTTAACGGCGGACACGTTCACGCTTACGTGGACTCCTCGGAGAAACACGTCTACAACAGCACAACCAAACCCGTCTGAACTGTGACGTGACGCATGAATTTGTATATGCATTATTATTTTATTTCTTTGGATTAAGCTGTTTGTTTTTTTGAGTAGAAATGCTGGTAAGGGTGTTCGGTTTGTTTGCATTTGGTTTGAAAACACTTTTATTACCAGCGACTTTTCAGAATAATATGAAATTGATTTACTTGTCTTATTTCTTACTTGTCTTTTGCTATATATAATAGCTTGTTGGATTTCACTCAGGGGTGATTATGTTGCAATAGCAAATACTAAAGCTAGTTTTTAAAATCCAAACCATGATCGCACAAAAGATATCGACATTCTTGAGCCATTTACTTTTTAGTTTGCAATACGATTAGTACAATTAGTTTTTTTTTTTTTTCGTGCGTCTCACAGAAATGCTGCCTCTCGACGGTTTATAAACACCGAATTGCTATTTAGAAATTCGTTACATATTTTAGTATGTTTGAGATCCAAGATATGGCTCTTTATTTGTTTTTTTGTATCCATGAGCCACATTTGTTTTTCTTTTAGTGTTCTTTTTTTATTGTTTATTTTTTTAATAAGCTGAAATGACCATTATAAAATACATTACCCCACAATCCAAATTTGTACATAGGTTTTTTAATGCTTTATCTATAGTGATGTCTACACTGCTAATCTCAAAAAGTCTCAATAAAACTATGTACAGACTGAGTGTGTGGATGTGTGTTTATTTCTCATTTTTCTCATTTCAAGTGGTAGAAACGGGAGGTTGTTGTGATGTAATATGACCTGCAGGTGGCGCAATAGACTCAACATTAGTCCTACAATCATTTCTTATGGGTTCATTTTACAATTTCATGTTTTGTTCTAATATATGGCTAATTAATTTACAAAACAACAAACAAATAAAAGCGTACGTTTGGGGGCGAAGAACATTTCCTTCCGTTAAAAAAAAATATTTTGATTAAATCTTAATTACACTACACATTTAATCCTCAGGACGGCATTTTTGTTAATTTCTTTGTTTGCAGAACCTCTTATATCACACCTGAGATATGCAAACCGTAACCCGCCACAGCAATCTCTAAAATTAATATAAACAAAATAAGTTCTTTGATATAAATATTCAGTAGTCGCAGTCTGCTGTGATTGGTCCATCCTCATGAGAAAAGTAAAACGTACCACATCACTTATAAAACCTTTTCTTATTTGTAAAAACGGCATTGGAGGACTTTCAGATCAATTTTAATTGTTCATTCTCTCCTCGTGCTTTGTTTTGAGGGAACTATATGGTTGAATATTTTAAATTTTAGTAAAGTTAGTTTTTATTTTATTTTAGTCCCGTTTTATTTTAGTCCCAGTTTCTTAGAATATAATTGTTTAATTAAGTTACATTTAGTAGAAGTACCTGAAATACAAATCTATAAAAAAGATTCGTCTAGTAGTCATCATCGAATATGATTGATCCATCCTGACAGCGCTGAGAAAATTAACACGCACCGATAATCAACCGTTAGTCATCATCATCGAATGTGATTGGTCCATCCTGACTGCGCTGTGAATAGTAACACGCCCCGATAATCAACCGTTAGTCATCATCATCGAATGTGATTGGTCCATCCCGATAGCGCTATGAAAAGTAACGGACTTTTAAGCGCTTTTGCTTCATGAGTAATTTTCAGCTGAATAATAACACTGAAATTATTAATAGATACCGCGTTAAAGCAACAAGGGGAACATTTCAAAATGGATTTTTTTATTTAGACTCATTCTAACCAACTTTCTGTCGCTAAGCCACGCCCACCTCACATCATTCCTCTGTTTCTGCGGTTTTGAGTTCAGAGTGAACTGAAGTCAGTCAGTCACTGCGCTGCTCATGAAATGACCATATTGACTCTCTCAGACCTGGAGCCGGTGAAAATAATACATACATAAATGTCTGCGAGGTGCGAATGAACTGAAAACGTCTTTAATAACTAGTAACTCAGTCGGTAAGTGTTTTTTCCTTCATTTAAAGATTGTTTTTATGAAGCGAGGACGCGCGCAGAGTTCTGCAAAACTAGCTAAAGCTGTTTATAATGCCTGGTTTTCTTAGTTTTTATAGGCAGGGTGTGTGTGTGAATTTGATGAGTTCTTTGTGTGTGTGTGTGTGTGTGTTTAGTGTTTTTGCTGTCTTCGTGTCTTGTTTTGGGGGAAATATGATGAAAGTTTGTAGACGCGTGTTGTTATCAATGACATTTACGTTTTAGTTTAAAAGTGATGCTCGTTTTTACAATTTACTTTTTAGTGAATGAGTTCAAGATGGAGATATAACGTTAGGCTGAAGGATGATCTGATGTAAAACATCTTGATTAAATTAGTAATTATTTATTTGTCTACTTGTTTCTTTGCCTTGCTGATTTAATCATTACACATAACGTTATTTGGTTCAGTATCAAGAACCAGTTTCTGTTGTAGTTTCTGTATGGTTGATGATTGGAGATGAAAATGTTGTTTTTTAGTTTCTGGGTTTTTGTAAAACCCTTTATTTGAAACCCCCATTTTATTCTTTTCTTTTTCACTAAAATGCTAGTTAATGTAATCAGTGTCACATTGGACTGAAGCTTACTGACTTGTTCACACAGGGTATGACAACTTCCCAAAAAGATTAAGATGCCTGGTTTTAGATGGATTTTAAATTGCTTGCAAGTCTCTCATTATGCTATATTACCACCAAATATTGGATTCAATCGTTTAATCTTCTAATCAGCACAGATTTTACTCAAAAACTGAGTTATGAGCTCAGGTCAGGGAGGCCTACGATCAATAAGATCCTAAAAGAAATATCAAACTTGTGCTAATTGAAAGAAAACAATATTTGGTGGTAATATAGCATAATGAGAGATTTACAAGGAATTTAAAATGCGGGTTATTTTCGACCCGGAACAACACCAAATTATGGAAAGGATTTTCTTGCATTAAAACCACATAGATGCTGATATGAACGGACAGTTTTTGTCCTGTTAATATTGTGCGTTCATCAGTGGTTTCTGTTTCATTATGCTCAAGGTTTCGCATTTAAAGTGTCTCTGATAAAGAGAATATTTGTCTACCTGAACTTTGATCAGGTTTGGACTTACAGCGCTTTGATTAACAAATGATGAGGTGTTGATTTAGTGAAATGTTTGTGCATCTTATGTTTTATATCATTCCTAAATTATGCTTGTGTTGGTCTTAGTTTGCTTGGTTATGGATGCTTTAACGTCCCACAATAGTGGAACATATTGTGTTTTCCATGCCTGGAAAAGTCATGGAAAGTTTTGAAGTGAATAGAAGTTTTGTAGTTGAGCTCTGCTGTTAAATCTTTTATGTTGTGCTCTTGTAGAGTAAAAAATGCGCACAGACGGTGATGTCTGGTTTGCTATAGTGAATCAATAAGTCAGTTCTTGTTTTTATCATTTAAAAACAAACCAGTTAGCCTCACCTGAGAGTTTATTTGGTGTGCAACTTAGTTGTCTCTACCATTTACTCTCATTGATCATTCATTCAGTTTCCCAGCGCAGCACAGCTCACACTGTTTTTAGACGGGGTCAGGGTTTTACTTTGACCTTGTCTGGGTTAAAAGTCCCCAAGGGAACAGCGTTAGTGGGGTTATTTGTCCAAGTAGAAGTTTAACAGCTGAACGCTGAACGGTGAGATTTATGGATCTTCAAGAAGAAGCTCTTTGTCTTTCTATTGTGGCAGAGCTCCAGGCGTGAAATTCAATATATACAATATATAAACCATATATTTTTAAGGCCCATATGGTTCAGTCCCATATATAGTGGGATCTCAATGTGGCTCCATGTTCAATTTGTTGAATTTTCCCTGTCTTCAATTGTCAAAAACCAAATGTGGGTCACTTTCTACACAGCTAATACGTATTGCATTGACACGGGAATGTCTGAAGAATAATGTTGAAACTAGAAATGTATATTTTTTTTATATCAAATCAATTGTATACAACATAAGCTACCTCTCTGAGTACCGAAAATACACTGAAAATTGATTTACCAAGAGTGCAAAATACGCATTACGCAGATCTACATGTTAATGCATTGACATATCTCTGGGATTGAACCATATAGGGCTTTAAAAATATAAATATCTAAATGAAAAGTGTATAAAGAATGAGAATTTAGAAGGACATTAAGATGTCTTTTAATACTTTTTGAGTTACAGCCAAGCAAACTTTGGAAAAACTTTGGAAAAACAATATTTATGCCACTCGGAAAAAACTAGATACATTTCTAGTTTCAACATTTGATGTTCAGATGTTTCTCTTTAAAATAAAAAAGCATCATCTGTATGTAAAGTGTCCCACATTTGGTTTTCGACCTCTAAAAATGTGCACAATTGACCAATTTACTCATGGAGCCGCATTGAGATCTCCATATCTCTGGGATTGAACCATCAGCCTTTAAAATAAAGATGCCAAAAGAAAAGTTTGATAAGAACCAGAATCTAAAAGGATATTAAGATATCTTTAATACTTCTGGAGTTACAGGCATGCAAACTTGAGGTTAAATACACAAGAAGTGCTTTTTCCCCATTTTTGAACGGTCACCGTTGGCATATAATTAAACAAAGATTGATAAAGTCAACAGATTTCACTAATAGACCAACCAATCTCTGTGTAGAAATAAAATAATGATGCTGCCATCTTTCTTAAGTCATTTTTACCCCCCTGTAATTTGGCTCCAAATCTCAGGTGAAAATTGTCATTTCCCCCTCGACAAAACAATGATTTACTCAGTAAATATACATCTGTGACATTTCATATTTTGGCTTTCTCCTTCATTTATGTATTATTTTCGCCAGAAAAAGTAAAGATCAAAATCAATTGAATAGTTCTACCATAGTACATTGAAATAAAACAAGGTATTACCATCATACCATGTCTGAGAAAACATAGTGCTACCATGGTGTGTTTTTGGTACTTTTCTGTTGTATTTCAGATATGCTAATGGTTGTTTTTTTCTCCACACACTGTAAGTGGTCAACCAATCACAGCAGACTGGGCCATCTGACCAATCAGAGCAGAGCAGCTCTCAGAGAGGCGGAGCTTAGAGAGACTGAATCCTTGATCGAAGCGTTTCTGAGAGAAAAGAGCTGATGCTGCAGGGGATATTATGACAAAATTAAAGTGTTTTTGACCTTGGATGCATGTAAAACTATTGTAGGAGAAATCAAAACAAAATTAGGAATCTTAAAAATAGCATTAATATAGAAAAGTTTATAAAGTCTGTGGAAAATGACTATTTTTATCTAGAGCGTTCCCAAGATAAATAAGCAAAATAATTGAGTGACATGAGCAGCTCAAGATCGGTTTTAAAAAGATATTGCGAGCGGATTGTGTTTGTGTGAGGTGCATTTCAAGAGAGAATCTGCATGAAATGTGTTTCTGCTTTTCTTCAGGAAATGATCATTGACCAATTACAGGCGGCTGGCGTGGGTCCACGAGTACGTGTGTGTGTGTACGGTTTATTTATAGAGCTTGTGGGTGTTCGAATGGGAAGATCTCTCATCCCACCATCTCTACACATCATTTATGAGCTCATAAAGACAAGGAATTTTACGGGATTCTGGGAAAGATGACCATGATTTGTGCTTGCATTCTGCAGTGCTGGAATACGGATGCTAAATGAACACAGTGTGTTTTGCATTGATCCAGTTTGTCTAAAAAAAAAAAAAAAAAATCTAAAAATTGTAGTTTATATCACCTGGCTCATTGGTTACACTAGGACAAGTCTAGTGCATTGCATTGTGGGTACTGCATTCAACAAAATGACCAAATATCGGTTGATTAAAAGGCATGGTGCTATATTGACGTGCATAACTAAATGATGTGCATAACTTTTACTTGCCTAAGGCCGTGTACATACCCGTGTACATGTGGGCTAGGCCTAAAAAACCTTGTTGTACCATTACATTTCCTAGAAAAATAATAAAATAAAAATAAAAGATTGGTCCAAAATCTGAACGTACGACAGTTTCCGGAGTGTACCTTTGAACGATTTATAAACCGTTTGCATGCAAAAAAGTTCCTAATATATTAATTTATTGGCATAATGCATAATTATCACAAAGCAGGTAAATGTTGCTAATATTTTTGCACATTTAAAAATAATAATATTAATGCATATTGTAATTACCCTTTTTTTTTTTTTTTTGCATTTTCACAATTGTCTGTATTATTTTAAATGAATAGATGGAATATTTTAGGGATGCACCGATATGAACATTTTGGGCGATGCCGATAACCGATAATTTTTTATATTTGAAAGCCGATAACAGCCATGTTATCGGCTGTTATCATGTTATGTAGGCCAATAAATCAAAAATTTTAAATAATTTTTGAGATCCTTGTTTGTGAAAAGTTAAAATCCATGTATCACTACCAAACACACAATTATGATGTTCTCATTATAATTTTATGTAGTTGCTTATATGACAGACTTGCGCTGCACATTTTAAAGCGATTTCAATCATATTTAAAGCAATTCAAAACCATCATGTTGAACAGTGCGAATCTGAAGCTTCTCAGCTGAAGGACATAATCCATTATTTATCAGCTTTAATATTTCGGCCAAATGTTCTTATAGGGCCGACAACGATAACATTATAAATGATCATATATCGGCCGATACCGATATTGCAGCCGATATATCATGCATCCCTAGATTATTTTAATTAACCATTAAAACCCAAAAAATTGAATGCATGCATGCTTTTCAATTGGTGCACAAACAAAAATCTTTCATGACCATTTCTGCCTGATTTGTTCCTCATTTTTGACGTCAGATGAAATCCATTGAGTAATAGTATATGTGTGTGTGTTTCCCTGTAACATTCTCTGGAAGGGTGAGACTATAAGCGAGGTCAGCCAAGATAAACAGCTGCAATAATACAACCGTGTCTCCAGTAAGTTCCCCTACATGCCAATTAACCGTGTTGATGTTTTCGTGTGACT